AATGAGCTAAAAGCTCCTGAGATATCACGCACTCTGATGTGTTTTTTTTTCTTTCCCTTTTTCGCTCTCTTTCACACATTTTCTTCTTTCATTCTTTTCATTCCGTCTTTCTTTTGAGGCCCCCCTTCCTTAATTCCTTCTTTCTTCTCTTCCTTCCTTCCTTCTATCCTTCCTTCCTTTCCTTCTTCCTTTATTTATTCCTTCCTCTCTTTTTTCCCTTCTCTTTTCTTTCACTTATCCCTTCCTCCCTTTCTTCGTTCTTTTGTTCTTTCCTTTCTTCTTCCTTCCTTTCTCTCTTCCTTCCTTTCATGGTCCGTTTATTTTTTCGTTCCTTCTTTTCTTACTTTACTCTTTCTTTCCTTGCAGGTTGTTTCGGGGTACCACTAGCAGGTCCTCATTCTCTATCTCTGACAGGCTATTACTACTATTAGCTTTCTGAATGTCTTGCTTTTTCCTTGCACTACAGAAACGTCACTGCAGCAGTGAGTTAACTGTTTTTCGGTCTACCTAATCCTCCTCACCATATTCCTTCCTTTCATTCTTTGGCCTTAATTTGTGCTTCTATTCTTCCTTCTTTCCCACCCTCCTTCCTTCCTTCCTTCCTTCCTTCCTTCATTTCTTCTTTCTTTCCTTCCTTCCTTCCTTCCTTCCTTCCTTCCTTCCTTCCTTCCTTCCTTCCTTCCTTCCTTCCTTTCTTCCTCCCTCCCTCCCTTCCTTCCTCCCTTCCTTCTGTCCTTTGTTCCCTTCCTCCCTTCTTTTCTTCCTTCTTTCTTTCTTTCCTTCTTTCCTTCCTACCATCCCTACCTACTTCACTTCCATCCGTACTTTCTTTTTTCTTTCTTTCTTTCTTTTTTCTTATTTTCTTTCTGTCCTTCTTTCGTTTTCCTTTCTTTCCATTTTTTCTTTCTTTGTTTCTTTTATGTTTTTCTTTCTGAATTCCTTCTAATATTTTTAAGACTCGTAAGAAGATGGCCTTAACGCTATACGGAAAATGAAAGACAAAACAAACAAACCAGAGAAAGATTCCTGAGCAGACAAACAAGAGAGATGGCAGACATCTAGAGGAGCCTGCTCAGATGTTGACGATGTCCCGCCGACTTCCGTTTCCAACGTCTGGCTTTCTCTTTCATAAGTTTTTTAATTTTTTTTAAATATATATTTTTTTAATTTTTTTTTATTGTTTTTGTTTTTTAGTTAAGGAAACTGATGTTCCCCTTATTCTGTTCCGCATTCTTTCTTAGAGTCTCCTCCCACTCTCCACCAACCTCTCTCTTGTCCTTCCATTATTCACATTCTTTCACTTTCATTGTATAAAACACAGGGTGAGCATAATAAATGACCTTCTTTCTATACACCGTTGCTCTGGTTCAATTGTCCTCCTCCTCCTCCTCCTCTTTCTCCTCCTCCACTACTCCCTCTCCTCTCCCCCCTCCCCTTATCATTTACCCGTTTATCTTGCGCAACACATACGATGATCATAATAATATATGGCCTCCCCTCTATGCACTACTACACTGCTTCCTTCCTCACTCATCTCAAAAGCTCTGTTTACACACCACACATACGGACGACATTTATATATTTTTGACCGAGTGAATCGTCGTATCAAAGGGGGATTATCTTCCGCTTCCCATCCTCGATACTTAAGTGCCGCGCACAGTTATTTAAAGCAGATGGCGCTGCTTCAAAGTTCGGAGATCGAACATTTTCCCAGCGGAGAACAATACACAACAAACATTTTTGTCGATGACTGAGGGGTTCATCACGTTGGTGTGTGAAGTACTTTGGGAATTTCCGGTTTTAGAAAAGGGTCTTTATTTCCCCGTGCGGATTTTCCCAGATTAAACCCGAGATCTAAAGATTTCCCCCAAAAGGACGTTTCCAAAGCTTAAAAAACCACTTTCATCTCTCTAAAAAAACCCGGTTGTGAGTTTCGTGTTTGCTAAGCATATGGACATAGCACAGATATAGATCCATAAGTCTTGCCAGTATTTTTGTGCGTCTTGATGAAATCTAAGATAGAAACTCTCTCAATATGAATTTATGAAGGGATGACAAAGATTAGTTGGAGAGATAGGGTATTGAACCGTCAAGTTCTCGCTTTATTTGGAGATCAGAAAGAACTCTTCAAAACAGCTTAAAGGTTTAAACTGGCTTATTTGGATAATGAGGCAAGATGGATTATCTAAAACGGTGCGTGCGGATACGTTGTTGGAAAGACAGACTGAGGAAGATTTACCAAACTCCAATGGACAAATGATAATTAAGGTTGGATAGGGTCTTAAGGCTTAGAATGTCAATGACAATGACAATGACTATCTTTATTCATCTCTCAGGGAGAAATCTGGCTTGGTCATTTACAATAGCAGTGGTGTTACGAAGGTCAGGTACACTCATAATACACACAACAAAGCAGGACATTAAATCACACCATGCATTACGTGGTATCTATCTATCTATCTATCTATCTATCTATCTATCTATCTATCTATCTATCTAT